GGCCCCGCCCCCGGCGTCTGGCTCGCTTCCTGGCCCCGCCCCCGCCGCGACGCCACGCCCAGACCGCGTACTGCGAGCTTGGCCTGAGGGCTGTCAGCGCTCAAAGGAGAAAGTACTTTCCCAAACTGGGCAGTAGGGGAACGCAACTTGTTCAAACCACCTACAATCGCCAGGATGCACTCTTTGGGCTAAGCCTTAGGGATATTTTTTTAAGCAAGCCGTGAAAGTGACCAAAAGCGTTCTGCTTAGGTTCGGTTGCAAAGTGTGGCAGCCTAATGTGGGGCACTGCTTGATCCTGAGTCCCGGTTCCCTTAAACCTGCCTGGTAGACCTCAGCTACGTGCTCTTCCTGGCGCTCAGGAGCGGGAGGGGGGACAGTAGAGGAGGACAGAGGCCCTGCGGCCTGCAAATGGCCCTTCCTGGAGAAACCGTCTGGAGCAGGGCCAGCGTCTCAGCAAGGGACGTCCGAACTCTGAACATCGATTTAGAGAAATTCCCACTAGCTTCAGTTCTCAGATCTCCACCAGGAAGGCACGGTGGGGAAAATGCGCTGTTTTGCGCATATTCCTACTGCCACACACGTTCTGCTGTTGTTGCATGGTGCCTGAGCATCCTAAACGGTACACCTACTCAGCTTTTAGGAGAAGGAGAAAGTAAGAGCCAAGTGAATGCTCCACTGCCTCTGCTGTAGGAATGAAGTTGAGAGCAACTTTTATTTCGTCTTTTGTCAAGTGCCACGGGAGAAATCCTTCTTGAAGATTGGGCCCAGGAAAAATTGCTTCTTTGCTGTCTTTGCTCTTTTTCTGATCATGTTCACTGCGACTGCTAAGCATCGAGATTTTCACTGTTACGGTTTCTTTCTAATTCGGTTTTGAGGTCTCTCTTTTTTTTAATTTATTTAAAAATAAAAGAAGGAAAACATATTAACAGACATCCATTTACAAAACAGCATAAGAACAATATAAGCAATACAGAGTTACAGACAAAGTGGTAGGAAATTAATAATGGTTGTTGTATGAGGTCTCTCAAAAGGGAGAGGAAGTCTGGAGATGACTGAAAAGTCAGCCAGCAGAGGCGGGACAGAAAGAACTGGGAAGAGGACCGGTGAGGCTAACGTCTTTATTGGGGTTCAGGGCATTACCTAGAAAGTTTCCCAAAGGAAGTTCTAATTGGTGGGTTGAGAGCTAGCAGGCATGTTTCACGGAGTCACCTCATGAATGCCTTCTGGTCACTGTGCCATATAGTGTGCGTCCATGGAGAGAATGCAATAAAATGCATCTAGCTGTCACCGGAAGGCAGTTTTATAAGACTGTTATGGATTGTACCTAGTCCTTCCTCAAAAGTCTCATGCGCTCATAGGTGGAGCTTTTCAGAGATGGCTGAATCTAGGAAGTGAATATGGACTAAGGATATGTGGTACTAAATTAATCCACTGATTGGTTTAGCATGGGTTTGGGTGTGGATAATGAGAAGGCCCACCTTAGATGTGGGTGGCACCAACCAATAGGCTTGTAGCTTGGATGAGATTAAAAAGGAAAGGAAGGCTCACTGCTTTTGACTACCCTGCCATACACTGTTTCTCCTCTGACATCCTGCCCTGTCCTCTGACATCCTGCCCTGTCCTCTGACATCCTGCCCTGTCCTCTGACATCCTGCCCTGTCTTGGAGCCAGCTGACTGTAGACCAGAACCTCTACAAACTGTAAACCGAATGAACCTTTTCTCCTTCAATGTCAGGTATTTTGTCCCAGCAATGAGAAAGTAGCTAAGACAAAGACACAGTGATGCACTGGGAGGAGGTAGAGAACTAGAAATTGTGTGAAGAGTGACTGAGCCCTACTTCTGGCCTAAGAAAGTTGAGTTGAACATATTCCAGATGGATGCCAAGGCAACATAAAATTATAAGAATTTACTATACTAGGAAACTAAAAAATGAAAAAAAATTTTTGACACAAGGTCTTACTACATTGGCTATGCTGGTTTCCAACTCCATTTCTCTTGCCTCAGTCTACCAAGTAGCTAGAATTACAAGCATGCATTGTCACACCCAATGAAGACTCAAATTTTCATTTACAGTGCAACCATTGCAGTTGTTGTAGCTATTTCGTTATAGTACTGTCCACTTGTGTTGGCCCCTAATTGTTTTTGATACTATCATTTTGGCTCAGCAATGGATTGTGATCTTAAAGAAAGGCATTATAGGGAGACTTGACATAGCTATTTAAAATAAAATAGCATCCTGCTAGGGTGTTACATGCATAATCCAAGCACTGAGGGAGGCAGAGGAAGGAGGATCACAAGTTTAAGTGCCATCTGGCCAACTCAGTGAGACCCTGTCCAAAAATAAAAAATACAAAAGACTTGGGATGTAGCTCAGTACAGAAGCCCTGGATTCAATCCCCAGCAATGCAAAAAATAAAATAACCTCATAAAATACTTGTAATTGATTAGGAAAACTACAGAAAAGTAATCATAAATTACTTGGGTTAGAGAAGAAAAAAATAGCAATGACAGCCTAGAGCCTGATGGAAAAAATACAACATAGAGACACTATCCTAACATTTGTGACTTTATCCTTATTTGGAGCAGTCATGTCAATATTCCAGGTCTGTTACTGTCTTAGTTACTTTCCTTGTTGCTGAGACAAAAGTTGACACCCAAAGTTGAAGGAGGAAAGGTTTATTTTGGCTCATAGTTTGTAAAGATTTCAGTTCATAGTTGACTGGCTCCAAGACAACGTGGCATAACAGAGGGGCCCTGCAGAGGAGAAATAGTCCACAGCAAAACAGGCAGGAAGCTGCCAGAAGCAGCAGTGAGCCTGCCTGTCCTCTGTCCCTTTATATTCCATCCAGGCTACAGGTCTATTGATTGGTGCCACGCACACGAAAAGTGGGGTTTTTATTATCCACATTCAGAACTATGCTAAACCAATCAATGGACCAATTCAGTACCATACCCTCTTATGGTACTTCATACACTCTTATGGTACTCCAATTCAGTACCATACCCACTACCATAAGCCCTAGATTCAGCCAGCTCCTCTGAGCACATGAGACTTTGGGGGAACATCTAGATATAGTACAATCCATAAGAGTAGTAAAAAATGATTTTCTTTTTTTTGTGCTAGAAATTGAACCTTGGGCCTTACACATATTAAGCATACACTCTACCACTGAAGTACACCCAGCCCTAAAAATTGGTTCTTAAAAGTTAATGTAAGTTACAGATAATACATGACTATTACAACCTGTTAAAACAGACAACAAATTGAGAATTGTCAAATAGCAGGGATTTTTTTTTTTTTTTTTTTTTTTGTCTTTTTAAAATAGGGTCTTGCTATGCAATTCAGGCTGGCCTTGAGCTCACATTGTAGCCTAGACTGGTCTCAAACTTGCAACCATCCTCCTGCCTCAGCCTCTTGAGTGCTTGGATTACGGGGGTACGCCACCACACTTGGCCGGGGATTTTTAAAATTCTAAATCAAATGGACATGCTTTGCATCACATACGTAATGCATCACTTTGAGACACTGAAGAGTTAAATTCTTCGCTCTTCTATTTCCTCATCTAGGGAATCATTAGTATATCTATTGTACCTCACAAATTCTTTGCCTTCAATTCTTTCATTTATAAGATGAGGATAATTATGCCCACTCTATTGAGTTAATGGAATAAGTATATAACACAATTGGCACCAGGAAACAAGTACACGGTAGATAAGATTAGCTATCCTGTGCCAACTTCCTCTTTAGGCTATTCCAGTCATTTAGACATCTTGTTTTATTTCATGTCCAGAAAGCTTTGAAGTTGGCATTATTGTCCTGATTTTCATACCTGAGATTAATTTACTTACCAAAGCTGGCAGGTAGGAAGCCTTGGAACTGGAATTCAAATCCCAGTGATCTAACCCAAAGCTGTTCTTAATCACTGTTTTGCATAACCTTGCAATAAACATTAGGCACTCAATAAAATTTAATTTTCTCTAGTTCCTTTCTACTTTTCAGTAAAAGACGAACAAGTATGAAACAGGAACAGCATGCATCTAATTGTTCAAATGGCAAACTGGAAAAGCCAAGGTATTCAGAGAATGACACCCAGTAATCTCCTGATGCAAATTTAAATTGTGACCATTTCCTTAAAGGATAGGGACCTTTGCCTCCAACCTGCTTTTAGGTAACAGATCAGCCACTCCCTTCACCTTTTTCTAGTGTTCATTTCAAGGTAAGATTAATGGCATATGTCACAAAAGTGTTAGTCATTTTTCTTATGACTGAGACACAACACCCGACACCCACAAGTTAAAGGAGGAAAGCTTTATTTGGCTCACAGTCTGTAGAGGTTTCCGTCCATAGTTGCATGGTTCCAAGACAGGATGAAGTGGCAGAGAATACTGGCCAAGGAAAAACAGTTTATAGCAAGTCAGGCCGGAAGTAGTATCAAGGGAGGAACCAGGGAGGAAAACATACCTGTCTAGGCAGCAGCTCTGTGACCCACATCTTCCAGCCAGACCCCACCTTCTAACATCAGGCCAGCTATCCCACCCCCATGGTCCAGTCACCTCCTTAAAGTTCTGTCTATAATGGTGTGTCGCTCTGGGAAGCCATCTAGATATAAACCCTAACAGTATGCAACACAGCAATGCCAACAGTGAGCTCCTGGGAACAGCTAAACCTGAGAGCATTCATCCTGAACACATAGTACAGAGTGCCTGCCCAAACATGATGTCTCTGTAAGATGCAGCCATTACTAGAGTGCTACCAGTCACGACTAGGGACAAAAAT